ACACTTTTTGCTGGCATCTCAAAAGTCTTGGATTCTAGGTGAGATTCAACAGTTTTGGCTGGAATCAAAAAAGTGTTGAATCCTAGGTGGGGCTCAACACTTTGGCTGTTGTCTCGAAAGTGTTGAATCCTAGGTGGGATTCAACACTTTTGAGATGCCAGCCAAAAGTGCTGAATCCCAGCTAGGATTCCACACTTACTTTTGAGATGCCAGCCAAAAGTGTTGAATCCCACCTAGGATTCAACACTTTTGAGACGCGAGCCAAAAGTGTTGAATCCCACCTAGGATTCAACACTTTTGAGATGCGAGGCACAAGTGTTGCATCCCGGCTAGGATTCAAGACTTTGAACAAGCCTAAGTGTTGAACCCCACCTAGGATTCAACACTATCAAGACGCCTCCGGAGACCCAGCATTTGTGATGAATCCCAGGTGGGATTCATCACAAATGCCTGCTTGGCTGTGATTCTTGACATCAATGAGTTGTTTACATATCATGCTGTTCGCATCCAAGGACACGCTTTGTGATGAATCAGACCTGGGATTCATCACCAAAGAACCCCTTGGGATGCAGCCCTGTTTGTGTTGAATGCTGCTGTCGTCTCAGAAATCTGCAGACTTACCACACCAGGGGGAGGGCCCCCCTAAATGTCCATGCCGCACCCCAATTTTTCGGCCAAATATGATGTCCAAATCGTGATGCGCCACACACAGCAGGGAGCCCCCCGAAATCTTGAGGCGCAGCACCTGAAAACAAATTGGTCCTACTTTTCCCGTAGCACCCCAGCAGTACTCCAGGGAATCCGCAAATCGGCTTGCAAGCAGGGCCGGGGGGCAGCCCGAAAGTGAGGAATCCCAGGTGGGATTCAACACAAATTCTTGTTTTGCTGTGATTTTTCACATCAATTAGTTTTTTGCACATCATGTTGTTCTGCTCAAAGAACATGTTTCGTTGTGACTACGACCTGGGATTCATCACCAAAAAACCCCTTGGAATGCAGACGTGTTACTTGTTGAGGCTGCTGTCGTCTCGGATATCTGCAGACTTACCACACCAGGGGGAGGGCCCCCCTAAATGTCCATGCCGCACCCTAATTTTCGTGCAAAAAATGTCGTCGAATTCGTGGTGCGCCACACACACACACCAGGCTCAGGAAGCCCCTGAAATCTTGACACCCAGCACCTGAAAACGGATTAACCCTACTATTTGCCCTAGTCCCCCTTGTAGTACTCCAGGCACTACGCAAAAAAGTTTGCAAGCAGGGCTGCCCAGACAAGCCTGCAGCGCCGGGGCCGGCCGATGAGTTTGTGCTCCTGACCAAGTCAATTATTAATCATCGTTCTCTACGTGCAAGAACCACAACAACAACAATAACAGCAGCAACAACAAGAACAAGAACAACAACAAGAACAAGAACAACAAGAACAAGAACAACAAGAAGAACAAGAACAACAAGAA